TCCTGCTGTCGGGTGGACGCGCACACGGAACGGAACGGGCTTACTAGGCGGGTGCGGGCGGTAGGGAAGGAGGGACGCCGAGGCGACAGGGAGGGAGCGGGGCGCACATTCCGCCTGCAGTCACAGGCCCCCCCGAGACTCACCCACAGCACAGAGGTCTGCAAAACGGTCCTCCCCCTCCTCTGCGTGGATCAGGTCATTTCGGCTCTTCTTGGTGGCTGCTCTCTTCAACACTGCTTTAAACAAAGGGTGGGAGGGGGCGGCATGAGTCCGGGCCTCCAGATGACCTGCCTCAGGGCTGGGCGGTGTCCTTGTGGGCTGTGCCAGATACCGGCAGCCTTTCCAGATCTCTCCTGAAGCTGAGGCTAAGGGAAGGCAGGACGATGCCTGGCCCCCATGGGCCCCTCTCGGTCTTCAGAGCAAAAGGGACAAAGGGATTTTGAGCTTTGGGTCCTGCCTGTCCTTCTCTCCACGGTGAGGCCCACGGGGAAGGCCTGGCTGCCATGGAGGCCCGGAAACCTCCCTGTGGGACAGGGACAGGGCTGCCCCAACAGCCCGCACTCCAAGGCCAGGTGAGACCAGAGAGGTCGGGTCAAGGCCGCAGAGGGCCCAGCACAGACTGCTCAAGGCTCCAGGTGTGGGCCCAGGGGAGACCGCAACATGCGTGGCCATGCTGTCTGGCCCTGTCCTGAGCAGCAGGTGTGAAGAGAGAGCAGCCTTCCTGCCACCGGGGCTGTGCTGGCCCCCGTCCCTGCCCCCGTGGCCCCAGGCCATGCTAGGGGTCTTTCTACAGCAATCTGGGGGCATCTCCCTGAGCCCTGGGGACAGATACAGCTTGGATTAAACCAGCAGTTTTCAAGCTTCTAGAAGCAGCACTGTCCAACAGAACTTTCTATGATGACTTGAAACGTGCCGCGACTGAGGATCTGGATTTTCACTTTTGTTTCATTGTAACATACGCACCTGCAAGCTCACACAGTCACGTGTCAGCTGTCAGCTGCCATGCTGGAAAACCCAGCTCTCAGCGCAGGCTCCTGTGACCCCCAGGCTGAGCCCACTGCCGGCGATGCCCACTCTGGTCCATGGCACACAGCCCCCCAGGAGCGTGCAGCTGACCCTCCCAGGGCCTGCCTCCAGAAAGGCCCCGCCCAGGACCATGTTAAGCGACCAACGTGCAGGCACCTGGCTGAGCAGAGGGCATCACGCCTCACATGCAAGCGTGCACATGTGTCACTGCCCGCCCAGCCACCAAAGCCCTGTGGCCAGGCAAGGAGTGCTGACAGCGGTCACCTACCATCCAGAGGGGACTTCTCCTCTGCGTTCTTGTCCTCCTCGGCCAGCATGACTTCCTCTGTGAGTGAGACACAGCCTCAGGCCAGAGCCCTCCTGTCCCCACCCCTGACCAGGGCTCGTCCCCCAGGAACACAGCAGGGAGGTGAGACCCTGCCTTCTCGGCCCTCACGCTTCCCGAAGCCGGCAGGGCCCGTGGCTGAGCTTGTCTCACCGACACACACCCCTCGATGGGGCCCACAGACAGCGCCCTGTGAAGAGGGCCTGGCTTGCTCCGCCTCACAAGCTGCCCTCCCGAGGGAAGCCCCCGCCCCAGGTGAGCTCGGCCCTGGGTGGGTCCGGGGAGAAGAAGCCGGCAAAGGCCGGGCCGGGAGCACCGCAGCCCCGTCCTCACCGGCCTTGAAGATCCACTCCAGGTACCCGTTGAGCTCCCGCTCGATCTGCTGCTGCCGGCGGAGCTTCAGGAAGGCCCGGCGGTTCTCCACCCGCTCGCGCTCCTTGGCAAACTCCCTGTGATGGGCGAGGCCGCAGCAGGAAGCAGAGCAGGTGGGTGTGAGCACGCCCCCAGGCACCCCATGTGCGGCCAGAGGCACAGCGACTCAGGAGGAGGCCAGGACGGGGAAAGCAGGCCAGAGGCCACCCCTCCGGGTGCCTCCATCACCTGGCCTTTCGCCCCCTCCCCAGCACTTAACAGGCCCAGGTGAGCCCTCCCTCCTCAGGCTCCTGCAGCTTGTAGAGACAGCGCCTCCGCGCCCAGAGAGGGGCTCCAGAGGGCAGGGACAATTCCACCTCCCCCTGGCCTAGAGCAGGCCTGGGCATGCACCCTCCGAGTGCCGGGCCCTGTCATCTGGACAGAGACGCTGCAGATAGCTTCTGGACAACAACCCCCCAGAGCAGAACTTCCACTTTGTCTCTTCTGCTGGTTCAGACCCAGAGCCTTTGCTAGAAGGAGGAAGGCCAGGCAGGCACTGGATCGCCTCAGGGTGGCCAGAGATGACAGGGAGACACTCTAGAATCACCCAGCTCCTCAGCCAAACCACTGAGGCTCTTCTGCCCTCCTGGGCCCTCAGCACCACAGCCCCAGTCTCCCAGCCAAGCTTAGAAGTCGAGAGGCTCAAAAGGCCAGAAGGAAGCCATTCACACACACAGGCACAAGAGCGCGTGCCCGCGCACAGACACACGCACACGCGCACACACCTTAGCTCAGGTCCCCAGAGGGCAGGCAGGCACACCCTCAGGGCAAAACTGCAATGCCTGTTCTCTGCCGAGCGAGCGAGCGAGCGAGCGGCTGTCTCTCCCCCCAGGAGAAGCAGCTTCTGGGCTTGGCAGAGGGCGCGGGCCCGGCAGGCCTGGCTCCTGTCACGCAGCCACGGCGTGAGGGAGAGCTTGGCTCTGACCAGGATGGACCCCAAGCCTGAGACTGGTGTCCACCAGGGCCTGAGCTGCTGCAACCCTGGCAATGAGAGGAGACGGCTCCCACCTGGACCTCTCACCAAGTCCGGAATCTGCAGGAACGCAGATTCGCCATCTCCCCACCAGGCCAGCGCCATCAACCACACCAGGGGGCAGGAGGGCCTGGGGGTGGCAGTGGGGCGTGACCATACTGCCCGCTTGGCCAAGAGCCGCCAGCAGAAACTCGCTGCAGTGACCAAGGCCTGGCCGCCGGGCAGCCACTGCTCAGGAGGTGGCTGGCTGTGGCCCGCCCTACCCAGGCTTTGGCCCCACTGGGAGGAAGGGCTGCAAGAGGAGCCACCGATTCTGCTTCTCTGGGCACTGGGAGGGTGAGAGCCCGGGGCGTGGCAGGGAGCAAGGCTGATCCAGCTCCAGGCTGGCCCGTCGGCAGCCCTCCTCCAGATGTGGCAGAGCCACACGTTGTGTGCTGACCACTGGCCTGAGGGGCCGTGCAGTCTCCAGCCTCCCTGGGGCTGGCAGAGAACCCTGGGGCCCCGCTGCTAGAGCTGGAGGCCAGAGGGAGGGCTCAGCTGAGACTCATTAGGAAAGCCAGCCTGTATCGGCTGGTCCCCAGAGGCAAGGATGCCCGCACGTGGGGACAGGGCTGGGAAACACAAAGTTCGGGGCCCCTCACCCAGTCTCTGCGGCTACCCCTGCTTCTTTCTCACATTCTCCGGAGTAAGCTTGAGCAGGACCCACTCGTGTCCCGCCAGCCTCCCCGCCGCCACACGGCCCAGCACGGGGCCCGCCCTCCTCACGAGCCTGGCCCCCGGCCAAGCTCCCACACCTGGCAGCCCCAGCTCTGAGCATCGCAGACACCACACCCTCTGTGCCTCCGCCACAACAATTCTCTGCCTGGGAGACGCTCCCCTCTCCTTTGCCACGCTCATTCCTGGTCCCCTCTGGGCCTCAGCTGAGCTGCCCCTTCCCCAGGAGGCTTCTCTGAGCCCCAGGCCTCCCTTGGCTTTCCCATCCCAGCTCGGACCACAGCTCCCCACCCCCACCCCCGACTAGGAGTTCTCATCGGTCCCCTGTGCTGTGGGCCTGCCTGCTCCTGGCGGAGGTGCTTAGAAAGACACACTACTAACAGTCAGAGTCTTACAGGAGGGGGCCAAGGCAGGAACACATGACAGAGCCAGAGCACAGAGCCCCTGGGCCCAGCCACTGTCCTCTCTGTGGCTGTTCGTTTCCAGACCAATATGACAGCTGCCCCCTGAGTCACGACCTCAGGAGCCTTGGGCCTGAGCAGGAATCTTCAAGGCGGGTGGAATGGAAACTTTCCCCTCCAGCCTCACAGGGAATCTGACGCGCGGGTGGGGGCAGGAGGCAGGCCAGCCCAATGCCCTCTCCCTCCGTCTACGCAGCTTCCTCGGCCCCAGACAAGGCCAGGAGCCCCAAATCCCAGCCCTGGTTGTTCCCTGAAGCCAACAGCACTTCCTTGGTCCTCGGCCCCATGCAGGACAGGAGGGCACTATGGGCCACAGGTGTGCTACACCTCACTACCAGTGAAGGTAAGAAGCACCTTTCTCCAGGAGGGACCCCAGAGCTGCATCCTCCCTCGTCTTCTCCTGAAGGTCAGCAGGGACAGGTGACCAGAGAGGCAAGGCAGGCCAGGGCTCAGGGCTGGGGTGGAGACCCAAGGCCGCTCCATTCCTTCTCCAGTGTCACACAGAAGGGCTCTCTTGTCCCCAGGGCTGCTCAGTAACCACACCACGAACCCAGATAAGAGGCAGCGGCGGCCCCTCCCCTGACTCAGAGGCCGGGGTGAAGGCCAGGAGCTAGGGGTAAGGGGGCCAGGGCCAGGACCACCAAGGGAGAGGTCAGAACGGCAGCACCAGGGACAGGCTGGCTAGAGCTCAGGACGCTGGGAGTGGCCGTCCCGGGGCCAGGCCGAGCCCCGCCTCCCGCACCGCACAGGCCGTGTCCAGCCCCACCTGCCCCCCCGCCCGTGGACACGGAGGCGCCGCGCGGCCTCTTACCCCGAGAGCACGCCCAGCACCAGGTTGAGCATGAAGAAGGAGCCGACGACGATGAGGGGCAGGAAGTACAGCCAGTTCCAGGTGCTCCCGGCCGCATCGTTGGTCTGGAAGCAAGAGGAGACGTGGGCACGACAGAGCCCTGGCCATGGAAGCCCCTGGCCCTTCTCACACACTGCCAGAGTCCGAGTGCAGGCGGGTCGACCCACCATCACGCCTGCCTGCCCTTGCCCCACAGAGCCCCCCTCGGGGGCTGGGGCCCCCAAAGGGCCAAGGACCTTCCTGCTCCTGGCCACTGCCAGCAACGCTGAAAAGCCCAGGAGTAGTCCCAGGGGGCCAAGGGCTGCCCCAGGTACCCCGCCCGGACACCTCCCCTCTGCTTCCCAGGCTGCAGGACACACCAGGCAGCTCCAAAGACACTCCTCCTTTGTGAAGCCCACGAACCCCAAGGCCCAAGTCCGATCTTTTCGTCTCCTGCGGTTTCCACAGCTCAGAGCAGTAAGCCCTGTGCCGCATTCCCCCATCGATGGCAAGCCCACAAGTCCCCAGGGAACAGCTGGGCCTAAGACAGAACCCAGCACCAGGGCCTGGTCTAAATAACCAAATGCAAAAGGTCTTCCCAGACCTTTTGATTTTTAGAGCACAGCCCACAGAAGGGTGAAGCCCTCTGAGTCCAATTCATTTCCACTGTTGTTTTGTTTTCAGGGGCCCCCCGTAGACCCAGCTGAGAGGGGTGGAGAGCCTCTTCCTCCCCACGAGTCTGGTGCTAGAAGTGAACCAAGAGGGGTGGGTGTTGTGGGCAGGTGACCACCTGGCCCCTCTGCTCCTCTCTTCAGAGGCGGCTCACAAGCCAAGGGCCAGGGCCCTGAGCAGGAGAGAGGCAGGAAGATGGCCTGGCACTGCCCTGAGGCTGGGGCTGATCTCCAGGAGCTGCTGCCGGAATTCCTGTCCTCCAGCGTCTGCTGGCCTAGGCAGATTTGCGGACTCTACCCCTGCAAGTCCTGAGTCCCCTGGACTGCCTGCCACTTGTGGCTTCTGATTCCTGGACACTGATTCCAGGCTGGCCGCTGAGACCCCCAGGCCTGACCAGAACAGACACTCAGACCCCCAGCTCTCCGTGCTGCCAGTGTTCCCAGACCACACCTCTGCCAGCCCCACATGCAACTCCGACCTACGGGCTAAGATGGCCACCAAAGCCACCAATCTCCCCAAAGGGCACCCTCAAAACCTGCCTCCTTCTGGGAAAAAGGAGAGATGTGTTGCCATGGCCCCAGCTCCTCTCACCTACTCGAGGACTTGGCTCCTGCAGTCTCCCTCTGATGGACCGTTCCCATCAGTAGCCAAAGCACCCTACTGTCTTCTTAAAAAACAAGACAAAACAAACAAGGACTTGCACTTCTGGGAAGATGGAGTAGACATACTCTTCCCTATTTCTCCCACTGAGTACAATTAACACCCTGGACATTACATCTAGAGCAAATATATATTTCACAGAAGACTCTGAAAAGTGGAGAAAAGAAAGCAGATCAGCTGGGACCTCTGGACCCACGGTGAGTTCCCTGTGTTTTTTTGTTTTGTTTTTGCTTCATATATCCCAGACCTGGGACTTTTAAAGCCTACAACCTGGAAATGCCAAGAGACACAGACAAAAAAAAACACCAACAAAAGCCAGCACTCTCTCTCTCTAACCAAAGGGCCAGGAAGGGGGGCAAGGCAGACAATAACTGCACTATTCCAGCCAAACAGGGCAGAAAAAACTGTGGTGAAACTTCCATCCCTGCCAGCAAAGACCCAGGAGGGAACCTAGGTGACCACCCTCCCCAGACTGTAATGAGGTAACCAACCTCCCCACACCCCCAAACCACAGAGATGTCAGAGAACAACAAGCAGGGAGGTGGGACGTCCTCCTTGACGGATGGTTGACGAGGCCCCCATCCCGCCCCACCTCTGTGGTATCAGTGGAGACACACGGGGAGCCTGGACTTCCACCCCCACGTGACAGTAATAAGACACACCACCCCCTCCCCACTGAGGTGCTGCCAGAAAGTCAGACTTTCACCACCACCCAGTAACGAGGCCACACACCCCCCACCCACACAGTGGGCAGAGACCACGTGGAGAGCAGAAACGAGGCACACAAAACCTTCCCAACCAGGTAAGTATCCCAGAGACAAGCGGGGAGCCAGAACTACCATCCCACTCAGCAGTATGGAATAGACCCCCCACAATGTGTCAACAGAGGCCAGGTGGGGAAACTTTCCAGCCTTCTACTCCCACCTTGCAGTAGCAAGGAAGCAACCCCTGCTTCCAGTGACACAATGGTCAGAGGAAGCCAGCTAAAACAGAGGGCTTAAATGAGATCCAGGGTCCCAGGACACAATGCCAAAAATGTCCAGTTTTCAACTGACATTCATTTGCCATACCAAGAACCAGGAGGAACACAAACTGAACAAAAAAAGACAATTGACAGATGCTGTGATGGTTAATTGTAGGTGTCAACTTGACTGGGCCATGGGGTGCCCAGATATTTAGCCAAACATTATTCTGGGTGGTTCTGCAAGTGTGTTTTTGGATGAAATTAACACTTTAATTGATAAAGTAAAGCAGATTGCCCTCCATAATGTGGTGGACCACGTACAATCAGTTTGAAGGCCTGACTAGAACAACAAACTGACCCTCTTCCAAGTAAGAGAAAATTCTCTATAAGAGAATTCAGACTTCATCTGTACCATTGGCACTATTGGGTCTCCAACTACTGGCTTTCAGACTGAAACTGCACCATAGCATCTCCTGGGTCTTGAGCCTGCCAGCCCAAATTTACTGCAGATTTGCACTTGCCGGCCTCCATAATCACATGAGTCAATTCCTAACAATAAATCTCTTTTTTTTTAATCTCTCTTTGTCTCACACACACACACACACATCACACACACATCCTATTGGTTTTATTTCTCTGGAGAACCCTGCCTGATATAGATTGCCAACACTAAGATGACAGAGATGATAGAAGTATCTGACAAAGATTTTAAAGCAGCCACCATAAAAATGTTTCAGAGGGTAATTGTATACACACTTGAAACACATGAAAAAATAGAAAGTCTCAACAAAGAAACAGTATCGTCAAATAAATGATACAAAGAAGAACAAAATGGAAAATTTAGAACTGAAAAATACAATAATCAAAATTAAAATCTCAATGGAAGGGCACAACAATAGAATAAAGACAACAAAGGAAAGAATCAGTAAGTGGTAAAAAAGAATAATAGAAATTATCCAATCTAAAAGAGAGAGAGAAAATAGACTTAAAAAACAAAAATCAAACAAGTAAGAAAAAGCAGAGCAGAGCCTCAAGAACCTAGGGGACTATGAGAGAATATTTGACATTCATGTTTCAGAGTAGCAGAGTACAGGAGAAAGAAGAGAAGGCTGAACAGTATTCAAAGAAATGATAGCTGAAAAACTCCCAAATTTGGCAAGAGACGTAAACTTACAGATTCAAGAAGCTGAGTGAATACCATACATAATAAACTCAAAGAAATCCACATGACATTTCATTGTCAAACCACGGGAAACTAAAGATAAATTAAAAATCTTGAAAGTGGCAAGAGAAAAAGGGCACCTTACTTACAAAGGGAAACAATTCAAAAGATTTCTCATCATAAAGTATGGAGGCCAGAATGAAGTGGCACAATACTTTTCAGGTTCTGAGAGAAAAAAAAAACACCATCAACAGACACCTACACCCATCAAAAATATCCTTCAGGGATGAAGGGAACATCAAGACATTCTCAGAATAAAAACCAGGGAAACTGGGAGAATTTGTCACCAGCAGATCTACCCTAAGAGAATGACGAACGAAAGTCTCTAAGCAGAAAGGAAATGATTAAAAAAGGAATTGTTAACCATTAGGAAGGAAGAAGGAACAATGAAAAGAGTAAAAATAGGGGTAAATAGATTTTATTTGTCCTTTTGAGTTTCCTAAATTATGTCTGACAGTGGAAGCAAAAATTATAACACGCTATGATGTGGTTATAAACATATGTAGAGGAAATGTTTAAGATAATTGTATTGTAAGTGGGGGAGGGTAAAGAGATATAAAGAGGGTAAGGTGTATATACTTCACTTGAGCTGGTACAATTAGGACACCAGTAGACTGGAATAAGATATAGAGCAACCACTTAAAGACCAAACAGAGATATGCTCACAAACAACTAGATGAATCAAAATGGAATTTTTTCAAAAGTTCAAGTAATACACAAGAAGGTAGGAAAAAGGAAACAAAAAACCAGAACAAACAGTAAACAAAAAATAAATAAATGAAATGGCAGATGTGAGCTCTAACCTATCAATAATTACATTACATGTAAATGGTCTGAATACACCAATTAAAAGACAAAGGTTGGCTAGTGACTTTAAAAACATGACCCACCTATGTTTTATCTATAAGAAATTCACTTCAAATATAACAGTTTGGGTAGGCTGAAAGTGAAATATGGAAAAAGAAGTATCATATAAACATTAATCAAATGAAAACTGTAGTGGCTATAATATCAGAAAATAAATATCAGACAAAGTAGACATCAGAATAAAAACAATTTCACTAGAGACAAAGAGGAACATATACAGGTCTCCCCCACTATTTGAAAGCAGTACATTCCTGTGAAACCTTTCCTAAGCCACAAAGGCATAAAGCAAAGAAGCAATCACCATAGGACACATCAGCTAACACATACAGAAAATAAGATAAAACACAGATGCTCACAGATACAACAGAGCTATGGCGATATGATGCTGAGATGCTGAGTGTAGTTCCCAGGGAAGGAGCTTGGCAGTGCCACTCTTGCGGCTTGGGGTGCACACTGCCTTTATAATGGCTCACTGTAAAGCAAATGTTGAACACTATTTTCTCTTTTCACCTTTTTTCATAAAAGCATAAATCTTCCACGGATTTCTTTTGGTTAGTGGAAACAGATATTAATGTAGGTCTTTCATAAAAGTGAAGTGGCATTAAGAGAACTTTTGAAAAGTGGGGGATACATTATAACGATAAAAGGGTAAATTCATCAAGAAGACATAGCAATTCTAAATGTGTACATGCCTAACAAAC